TGTTATTCCCGGTAGTGCTCAGGGGAACAGGGACTCTCCCATTGCCTGCTGGTCTCCCTTGGCCAGTTTATAGATGGCCACCAGATCCCCTCAGCCTTCTCTTGTGGAGGCTGAACAGGTTCAGATCCCATAGCCTATCCTCATAGGACCTGCCCTGCTGCCCCTGATCATGTGAGTGGCCCTCCTCTGGACCCTCTCAATGTTGTCCACATCCCTCCTGAAGTGTGGCACCCAGAACTGGACGCAGTACTCCAACTGGGGCCTGACCAAGGTCACATAGAAGGGGAGGATAACCTCCTTGGACCTGCTCGTGATGTGTCTGTGGATGCATGTCAAGATGCGGTTAGCCTTTCTGACTGCATCCCCACATTGGTGGCCCATGTTCATCTTTGAGTCAATAATGACTCCAAGAACCTTTTCTGCCTCTTCACTGACAAGAAGGGAGTTCCCCAGCCTGTGGGTATGCTGCTGGTTCTTCCTCCTCAGGTGCAGTACCTTGCACTTGTCAGTTTTGAAACCTATCCTGTTCTCATCCACCCACCTCTGTAACCTGTCCAGATCTGATTGCAACTTGTCCCTCCCCTCTAGCGTGCCCACCTCCCCCCACATCTTAGTGTCATCTGCGAATTTGAACAAGGTGCTATTCACCCCCTCGTTGAAGTTGCTGAGGAAGATGTTGAACAGTGCAGGCCCAAAGACTGAGCCCTGCAGAACCCCACTGCCCACATCCTTCCAGGTTGAAAAAGACCCATCCGCCACCACTCTCTGGGTACGGCCCTCCAGCCAATTGGCGACCCATCTAACCGTGCAGGGATCGACCACAGGGATCGACACCACAGTTGCCTAATTTTTTAATGAGAATAGGGTGAGAGACGGTGTTGAAGGCTTTTCTAAAGTCCAGAAAGACTACATCCACCGCGATGCCTGCGTCCAAAGATTTAGCGACCTGATCATAGAAGGCCACCAGATTGGTCTGACAGGACCTGCCTCTGATGAACCCATGTTGGTTGCCCCTAAGCATACATTCCCCTGCTGGTCCCTTGCAGATGTGCTCCTGGATAATTTTCTCAAAGAGCTTCCCCAGGACCAAGGTAAGACTAACAGGCCTATAGTTTCCTGGGTCCTCCCTCCTCCCTTTTTTGAAAACAGGGACCACATTGGCCCCCTTCCAGTCCTCTGGCACCTCGCCAGAGCACCACGAGGGCTCGTAAGCTGTGCCAGGGGACCCGCAATGACCTCATGGCTAATGCCATGGTGCCCCCCAGTCATGGGAGGCACCAGTCGTTCATGGTGCAGGAGATTTGATATTACTATTCAAGCAGCTAAGGGAGTCAATTTAATGTCTCATTGTTCTTCACTCCCCAGGTGTTAACTATTTTCTTTTCTTTTAATGGTCTTGATAGTCCACTACTCAAGCTAACCTTTCTAAGGGCAATTTTGCTGTCTGCTAGCTGCTCCTGGTCTCTAGTCTCCTATTTCACAGCTCTAGAAACACTTTAGCTCTTTTGAAAATCATACATCCACTCATGGAAACTAATGTTAAAAAACAGCAGGGGGTTTAGCTTTAGTTAAGTAGAAAAGTTAATTAAGGCATCTGAAGATTAGGCTCTGTCCCTTTTTTATGCAGCCATACCTCTGGAAAAATCTTTTTTTTTCATTTTGCCTTTCAAAAAAAAAAGTTTGTATTATATTCCAGGGTATGCTGTATGAAATGAATACAGTATTTATATTGTGATCATCATTTTGATATGTGACCACCTTACAGCAGCATGAGCAAGCCGTGAATAAACCATCATTTGGTATAATGGTAATGTGTGGACTACCCTAACTAGTATATGGACAACAGGAATCCAAGGTATTTCTAACATGTCACATGACTGGAACTCAGGTCCAAGACAGTTTTATGTTCCTGAGACTCATAGCTAAACAAAGAGCTGTACTATGGTAAGCAATTAAGCTCATCAATGGACATTAAATTCACTGAGTTCTAAGTAGTATCTGATTACTAATGGTCATACTATGACCCTTGGGCAGGTCTGAATCTCCTCTCTGTTGCCAGCCTTATTCACAGGGTTCTCACAATCCTAGTCTTTTTATAGGAGAAGTGCATGCACACCCCACTTCACATGAGAGCCATTGGCTCTGTCCCCATCCTTTCATGTTACCCTATAGACCAGGCTGGGAAAACCCTGGAGAGCAGGCTGCAACATTCAATATAGGAGGAGCTGTGCTCATTGTAGCCCTTGTCTTCAAAAGATTAGTCAATCCCTAATTGTGGTTCTGGAGACACTTAAATATCGTGTACAATCTAGACTGAATTTTATGTGAGACCAGATTGGATTCAAGACATTATGGCAGGCCTTCTACTAGCTGTGTTGATTAAGGGTATCTGACAAGATTTCAGCATGCGTGGTCATTAGGGGTGTGCGAAGCAGGCCCTATTCGATTTGGATTCAGCCTAAATTGGGGACAGAAATTCAATTTGTTGATTTGGATCACTGTCCCTGATTCAGTTTGGCCAAATCCGAATCTGAAGACTCAATGCTGATTTGGAGAATCAGCGATTCAGACATAGACACAGCTTTAAATGTTTTTTCTATATACCTTGAGGTACCAGCACGGCTCATGAATGCTGCAATGCTGGGGCAGATGGAGCATCCCACAGGAGATGGGGTTGCGGGGGGGAGGGCCACGCAGGCTCAGCAGTGATCCCAGAAGTGGACCAGAAGTACTTCCGATCCACTTCCGGGTCCACCAGCGAGCACACTGGGGGCCCCCACCTGCACCCCTGTGGCTTGGCAATCAGCTGCAGGGGGACCCCTGGTGCCACCCCAAACCCAGGAGGCACCAGTCACTGAGCCGGGGAGGGTGTGGGGTGGGCCCCCTGTGTGCTCTCCAGCAGACCCGGAAGTGGACTGGAAATGCATCTGGTCCACTTCCGGGTCTGCTGCTGAGCACGCTGGGGAACCCCCCACACTCTTGTGGGACACTCCATGCGCCCTAGCATTGCAGCGTTCACGAGCCACCTGCTACCTAGGGGTATGTAGAAAAAACATTTAAAGCTGTGTCTAGGTTAGAATCACTGAATCTTTCCAAATCGATTCGGAGGGTTCTGATTCATTTTGGAGAGATTAAAGGGTCCTCTGATTCAATTCAGATTCAGAGATTTGACCACCAAATTAGGCCAAATCTCCACCGAGTCAAATCAGGGACCGAAGCTTCGAACAGCCCTAGGGCTCATGTCTCATGACTAGCACTGGTGAGCTAGTCCAGCTCCGTTAGGGACTCTCAGGCATTCTGTTGAAGACAGGGCAGGGAGTCTTTCAAGCTACAAGATTTCAACAAGCATGGAGCACTTCGTTCTAGTTAGTACACAAGGCATCGGGCTAGGCAGGGGGCTCATAACACAAATAAATAAGGCCATGTGAAATGAAAACCTGAATCAGGCTGCAAAATGTACATGTGGGGACCTAAATAAGTGGCTGTGGTAACAACATAAGGACACTCCAACCTCCGCTCCATGACAACCACTGGAGAACATTGTGTGCTTTATCCCTGGAGATTCATTGCATGTTGTGGAAAAACTGAAGTTGATTTTTCTCTAAGGTAACTTGAAATCAAAATTTAAAGAACAGGAAAATATCGTCTTCTCTGCCACTGTTATCCTCAATTGTTGTAAATTAAAAATAAGAATTAAAATAATTTCCAAACTATCAGAAATACAAAACACTCTAAAACAGAAAATATATCTGGACACATACACTTGAGGTATTCACAACATCACAGACCCCCATTCCTTTGGTTACCAGAAGCCATGAGAACCCCCTGATGATTCTGCACAGTTGTTACAGGAAAAAGAGAGTGAGAAGATGGATACATTTTATCTAAAATGTCCAGATTAGAGCTGGAAGTTTAGATAACTGGTACAGACCATGAGGCTCAGAACAGAGGATTGTGGGATCTTTCACTCAAAGCAATCTCACTTTGAAGCAAATTGAAATATTTCTGGCACTGGCCTGGACAGCTGACTTTTACTCCCTGATCCTGAGAAATGTTTAGCCACGATAACGCCCTTCAACTTCAATGCGAGCTGTTGGAGTTCGGCACTCCCAGGATCAAGCCATCAGTGCCTTTCTAGACGCACACAGAATTCTTCAGGCTTGTGTAAAGCTTGCAGAAATATAACCAACAGCAGGTATCAGATTGTTTACTGCACTAGCCTGGCACAGGCTTCACCCTTGGGAAGTCAGGAGACCATAGTACATAGGACAAAAACTTAGCAAAAACCTGGCATTTTAGGGACACTGACTGGGCACTGAGCTGATCCTGGCTATGCCAATACTGTGTGGTTGAAAAGGAAATGGAAGTTATAGCCTGGCTACCTGGCTGTGTGGTTTTCTAATACGAAGTACCAATCTATGCAGTTTGAGGGGGTGAATAATGTATGAACCATGAGAGTGAGTGGGAAAGGTAGGTTGCACATGTTCAGTGGTATTCCAAGGCTAGCACTGCACTGCATATTGAAAATAGCTCGTGGTACATCTATGACTGTTCATGTACTATCAAAATGACAGACAAATGCATATGGCTGAATTGCAAAGTCCTACAGGAGTTCCACAAAATATGGAGTGCAGAGAAGGCAGGAGATTCTATTGAATGTTTCAGGGCTGTCTGAGTTGTATGGAAATCCACTTCAACTGCAGGAAACTTGAGTAATCAAGACTTATGTGGGTGGGGGTCAGGTGAGTGAGTAGTGACACGAAACCGTCCTAAACTCAATGCTGGGGTTCAGCTATTGTTCTAGTCTGTAGCCCAGAGGACACCTGTAGTCCTTGCATGTAAGCAACAGTGTTATTAATTTGTTTGCAGTTAGTTAAGGGGTCATTTTCCTGTAACCGAAAACTCCCAAGAAGCTTTCCCTCTCCACCTATTTTATCATGTTCAGCCTATTTTCTTTGGCATGTGTCACCCTCCCTGACTGTCCTGATTTGGTTATTCAGGTGTTCAAGATGTCATTGAAGGTACAGACAAGTAACATCACAAACAAGAACGACCCCAAATCCATCAACTCCAGAGTCTTCATTGGCAATCTCAACACAGCGGTGGTCAAGAAGTCAGACGTGGAGACCATTTTCTCCAAGTACGGCAGAGTGGTTGGCTGCTCTGTTCACAAAGGCTACGCATTTGTTCAGTACTCAAATGAAAGGCATGCAAGGGCTGCTGTCCTGGGGGAGAATGGGAGAGTACTCGCCGGGCAGACTCTGGGTAAGGAATTCTGATGTCCCCTCTCTAGTCTTTGTAGAGTCAGGCAAACCATACCATGTGTCACAGCTGCAGATACTGTTGGAGGGAAGGACAAAACAGAGGCCTATAAACATTCACATGCTCTAATTGTTCCCAGAGGTCTCTCTTGCCATCCTGCATGAAAGAAGCCATCAGTCTGGTCCAGTGGCTGGGCAGGAGTGGGATGGGGCCATGAGATTCAAAGGATGCTTGTTGGTGGCTGGAAGTTGCTTTCTTTGCTTCTGAGGGAAGCGTGCTCTGCTTTGCAAGGCAGTCCAATATAATTTGAACTGTATCATACAGTTCACTTTAATATTGCAGCTGGTGTACTGTAGCTTCTGCACAGCATGTGCAATTCACACACAGTCCATCAGGTAAAAAAGATGACTGAGCAGTCACAACTAGGCCTTTATAAATATAAGTGGTGTTAAAATTAAAATGTGATATGAGCAGTTGCACATTAAGGGTTAATACTGCTTCTTGCTTGCACAGCTCTGAGTTGCAACTAGAGGGCTGTTGAGCCAGGGGCATGGTTAGGAGCCAGGACACCTGGGCTCTGTCCCTGCTCTACGCTGGGGAAGGGAAGGCTGGGAACAGTTGGGAACAGTGCATCCTGGGATGCTAGAGGACTGCAAATTGTTTGTTTTATCTCCATGGAGCAGACTTAAGCTATCTTAACATAAGCTAGGTAGCACAACCCGGAGCTAAACCTTGGCTGAAGTGGCATAACTTTGAGACACTCAGAGGGCACTTAGCATTAGTTAATGAGCTTTAACATGCAGATGCTCATGTTTTAAGCATGATCTAAGACAGGGGTGGGAAATTATTTGGGCCCACAGGCCACATAAAGCAGTTTTGGGGAGCTGTTACAGGCTGGGCAGCACTCCCCTCTTTTCCTCGCCCCATGCAACAGCTCACCAAACCTGGAGCCCACATGGAGGCTGCCCTATGGGTCCTCCCCACCATTGCTGCTGCCACCAGCACCCAGCAGCAGGTTCTGCCTGGCTCCTACTCCAGCCCCCAGCCCACCCTGCATGAGGGCTCGGGGGCCCTGCAGGACCTGCTCTGGACCCACTTGCCCACGATGAGTGGCAGCGACAGCAACAGCCAGGGAGAACCTTCTGTAGGTGTGGGGGAAAAGAGGCCTCCTCCTCCTCGCTGCTGTGAGGACCTTCTTTCTGCAGCTGCCCAGAGCACATGCTGCGACTGCCCTGCAAATCCTCTCTGCTGCTGCTGTCGCCCCACCAGGTGGCCCAGAGGCAATATTGGTGGCAGTGTGCACAGAGAGGAGCCACAGGGCAAATTCAGATGTAGATTCACCCAAAGACTCTAAACAGAGGCACAGGTTGGTAAAGTGACTTGTCCAAGGTCTTGCAGCAAATCACTGATGGAGCCAGGCCAATGCTGGACTGAGCTGCCTCTTGTAGAGATGAGATGTTATTTTCTTAATTTTTTTCCCTGGAGCCTTACCTGCTGTAGAACTCCAGTGGCAGCAAGGTGTGCTCTAGCACAGGAGTAGGCAATTATTTCAAGCAGAGGGCCACTTAATGAGGTTTGGTAAGCTTTTGAGGGCCGCATGGGTAGCCCCACCCCTTGACAGGTGCCCCACTCCCTGGTCACCAGCTTGGGACCAGAAGTCCCAACCCTAACCCCTAGCCTTTGCCACCAGAAGTCCTTTCTCTTGCCCCCCAGAAAGACTCCTTTTGGGAGTGGGGATTGCCACCTTAGAACCAGAAAAAAAACCCTATACCCTAAAAGTCAAACACCTACTATAACATATTTTAATTTTACTACAAAAACTATTTTTGTCATTATTTGTGTTTGTGTAGTGTATATACAGGTGATTGCATAATTCAAAAATAAATTCTTAGTCTTTTATATTGTGTAAGGGGGTGTGGTTGGGTGTGTGTGTGGTACGGGGGAGGGGGTTGTATGGCATTTGTGGGGTTTGGGGGTGTGGCTCTGGAGCACATTGGTTTCTGGAACACACTGTCCTCTCTTGCAGTCAACACTGGGGAGGAGGGAGGGTGTATCTGTGTATGTCTATGTGTGTGTGTCCATGTGTGTGGTTTGTGGGTGTTAGGGAGGGTGGGAGAGGTGTGGGGACCCCCCACACACACTCCCCCCATGGCACAGCAGCAGGCAGGGGCGCTGGTTCCTGGCTCTGGCCAGTGCTCCATGGCACAGCAAGGAGCCCTGCTGAGCTGTTTGTCTCCCCAGTGCTCCTCACACTCAATGCTTCCCTCTTGTGCCCCTCGAGTGTGGGGATGGCCGGGGAAACAAACGGCCTGCAGGGGGCTGTGCTCCTCACAGCGCTGTTCAGAGCCAGGAGCCAAGTACCAGCGCCAGGCAGTGACCATAATAGGATATGTTGGGGGCTGGTGTAGGTGCCTTGCTCCCACCCTCATGGACAGAAAGGCTGGGCGGGGCACAATTTGTTGGAGGGTGCTGTTGGCCAGATGAAAGTGCATGGTGGGCCAGGTATGGCCTGCAAGCTGTAGTTTGCCCACCCCTGCTCTAACATATTATGCATACTGGTAGCCATTGGTGCTTTAACCACCCTATCATGCTAACCTGTTCTGATCACTAGCAGCCAGTCATCTGCACTCCCACTAGCAACAGAAAAATGTGAGTCTCCAACCCATTACCAATTGCCTGTTGAAACAAACAGTCCCCAGCTGCAATCTTATTTTGCAGATTGCTCTGAAATATCACATGCTGAGAAGCTCTTGTCGCCAGCTAAAAGCTGAGAATTGGAGTTGGAGACAGTTTTTTTAAATAAAATAATTGGCATTTTGAGACCCCCAGTAAGCAGTAGTTGCTAGACATCCAGTTCAAGGGATCTAAAACCCATTTGCACCCTGCTTCTGGTGCAACAGTCTGCATTAAGAATGTGAATGCTGGATATATTTTAAAGAAATTGTGTTATTTACCCAGTCAAAGTTCATCCCTGCTTGACTCAAACTGGCAGCCTTGGCCAGTTAAAAGAAACTGCTTCTCCTTTCTCTCTCCTTCAAACTAAAAGCAGAGTTGAAAGCTAGAGGTTACATGTAATTTGTAGGGTCATTTAATGTTGCCTATGTGTTCAGTGGAGCTCCAAGTTACAATGGACAGGACCTTTTTGAGGAAGAGAGGTCATGAAGCCAATGGAAGAAAATGTTCCATCACGTGTACTGAAAATAGGCAAAACATGCCTAATCCTGCTTACTGCAGAGAGGTTAGAGCAGAGAAGCAACTCCCAGAGTGTGGCATTCTGGGGTTCTCTAGCCACCCTTCTTGTACAGTGAGTTCCCCCAGATTTAGCCTACAAACCAAGGGAGTATTTTTGTAACTGCCAGAACTGCAGACTCCATCTAAGGATCATGAATTCAGCTCAGCTCTGACTTCCTCTTTCCTCCCCACCACTGGCAAGCAGAGCTCAGATACTGCTGCAGGACTCCAGTTCACTCTCCTTGTAGGTGAAGTATGGGAATCCAGCAGAGAGGAAGAAATGAAAATGCTATTCAGTATGCACAGGAAATATACTCGCCCTTAAGAGGCCCTAGATCCTGTTAGGGAGATGGGGGTAAAAAATCCTAAAAGGGAAAGTTACAGCTGCTCAAGCTGGCCCAATATCCAAGCATAACAGAGGGCCCGCACCTGGTCATTACATAAAGTGATCTGACCCAGATGGCATGTACTAGATGTGTTACACGTGAGCCTGTCTTTGTCATTAACCACCTGGAGCACCAGCTAGCGGGTAAAACTTCTCTCCCTAAGCAGACACCACAGTGATAACACCACCTGCCTTAACCCCAGATGTGAGTGGTTGCCTTGACCTAACTGTGTACAGCCATCAGGCTACTTGCTGGTGAAATCCAGCCCCCTACCTGTGTGTCTGTGCCCACTTCTATTATCGAAATGACCACAGGTAGAAAGAAACTAACTAAAGAGATATGGCAAAATAGAGAAGAGTTGTGATGGGCACACCACAAGCAAACTTAGCATGCCTTGGTTCCTACGTTGAAGGATTGCCCCTTCATTCCTCCTGCCTGTTTTCAGATAAATAGACCCTTTCTCTCTCCGGTATGGACTTCCACATGGACAGCAAGGGGCAGAGGGCACAAGGTATTAATAATGATCAAAAGAAAGTTGAAATAAGGTCCTTCGATCTTTGTAGTTCAGACCCGTGAGCAGAGGGAGGCTTGATGCAGTGGAAATCCAACCAAGGTACAGGAGATGGTTCCATGGGAAAATGATTGCCATCCACCAACCACCTGTCACAGCACAGGACCCTTGAAGAGGAAGATGCACCTCCATGTATCACATGACACTCTCACCCCTGGGTAGAATGTTGAGCAGTGACAGGGAATTGTCTGAACCATCTGTGAAAGTGAATCTAAAAGAAATGAGAGATTAGGATCTCTGATTTCATCATCCAACCTATGTGATTCAGAAATAAGTCCAGAAGTCAAGGTGAGAGTCATCATTTTTAGGTGTTTTCTATTATAACCAATCTCAGGCATTCAGAAATCTGGAAAAGCCTCCAGAATAATGAGACTTGCTCAGAAAACAAGAGGCTATAAAGGAAGTAATAATTCTGAGATCCTTTTCATCAGCCCTCACATGCTGGAGTGTTTAGAGAATGCGTTGGTCGTGTTTTTAAGCTCTTTTCTTCAAGTAAGAGTGCTAAAAACTTCCTCTTTTCCCAGTGAAATCTGAGATTTCATCTCATCACATGATTTCAATTCTGGGACTTTATGAAAAACAGTATGTGTTGCAAAATTTACAACTCATGGGAGTTGGCAAAATTGTGTTTTTCATATTCCCTGCTCTAAACTGTCCAGGAATAATAGCAGTTTTCATTGAGCCAGCTCCAGTTACACCAGCTATATCAATTGCTTCAGCTGAGGGTCTGATACCAGGAATCTTTCATTAGAACAAACATTTGCAAGGTTGGAGTTTATGTCCAATGTGAAGATTCAGAGCTGTTCTTGCATTAG